CAGGGACAGGGACAGCCAGATGAGGGGACAGGGACAGCCAGCTGAGGGAACAGGGACAGGGACAGCCAGCTGAGGGGACAGGGGACAGCCAGCTGAGGGGACAAGGACAACCCCAGGGACAGGGACAGCCATCTGAGGGGACAGGGACAGGGACAGGGACAGGGACAGCCCCAGGGACAGGGACAGCCAGCTGAGGGGACAGGGACAGCCCCAGGGACACCCTCAGGGTGCCCACCCCAGCCTGGCACAGTGCCCGGCACAGAGAGCAGCTGGCTATGTGTAGAGAGTGTTAACAGCTTGCATGGGAATAAAACGCTATGTCTTTAGCTGTCTTGAGAAAAAGAGATTGGAATGTAGAATTGATAACGCAGGTGGCTTACAATTATAAACATTACTAACACTGTAGCTTTTGCAAACCGACCAATCCTATGCTGTTGAGTAGAAAGTGACAGCCTCAGTGACCAATGTATGTTTGACACAAATGTATGCACTAATTGCTAAAGTGGATAAAAGAGGCCTGTCTCAGAATAAAGGAGTTACTTTTTGTGTGTATATATATATATATATATATATCTGTATCTATTATTTTGTGTCTGCTGTCTAGCCAACAGCGACAGGTATGGTCACTCCTGGCAAAGGCCACTCCTGGCAAAGGTCACTCCTGGCAGAGGTCACTCCTCGCAAAGGTCACTCCTGGCACATCCCCCTGAGCTGCAGGGATCAGGGCTGGAGCAGCCCCAGGGCACCGCAGGGAGGTGCCAGCAGAGGTGCCAGCAGAGGTGCCAGCTCTGTCACAGCCTCCCCAAGGAGCACAAGGCTCAGTGTCTGTCACACAGAACACCCCAGGGACACAGCAGAAGCTGCTCCAGGCCCTCAGCTTTCTGCCAGGCTCTCAGAAATRAGGCTGCCAAAGCTCTGAGCAGGGCACTGTGACCACAACTGTCCCTTGTCCCCACCCTGCCAAGGCTGAGGAGCACCCAAAGGGTCACGGATCTCTCTCTGGATTATCACTCAGGCAGACAAATGTTTACACAGAATAAGCCACTGACTCTGATTAGACACGCTGCTAGTGGCAGAAGTGAATAATGCCCTATCAAAAGCTATAAAACACAATTTATCCTGAGGAAAATAAATTAATCAATTTTTATTTGGCTGGTTAGAGGAAGCCAATCTGGATTAGCAGCAGCTGGAAGCAAACGAGGGATGCGCAGAAACAAACCACAAACAGAACGTGGGACAAAGCTCCATGGGGAGAAGCTGTTTCCTTACCTGCTCTGGGCCTTTGTCAAACATTTTCCTGGTCCTGGGGAACTGGTGGGAGTGGGGGGTGTACTGGACACCCACGTTGGTGACGTTGGCAGGGCGCACGGCCGCCAGCTCCCGGCTCACCGGCTGCTTGGGCACCTCGTTGGTCAGGCTGGAGCTGCTGGTGCTSGTGGTTGGGGGTGACCCTCTGAGGGACAAAATGAGCACAGGGGTCAGGTATTGCTTCTGCACGTGAATTAAAGGGTTTTTGCTTTCTTTTTTTCTCACAGGATTTGTGTTTTGTTGCGGTGCCTCCTCTAGAGAAACATCACAACTCYCACATCCCAAACAAACCCCAAACCACGAGTGAACCCTGGCTGTGCCAACTCTACACTCTCTGGGAGTCTGTGATGCTCACCCCAAATCACCCAGAGCAGGCACTGCATTTCCACGGGGATAGAGCTTCAAACCACGTGAATTTAAACTGGGCCCCCTGTTCCAGCTCAGGATCTTACTGGGGCACTCTGGTTATGGTGTTTTCTCCTGGAGAGGAGTTCTGGGCAATAACCCCACTGTCAGTCCCAGCACTCACCATTTCCCTGCAGGTCAGGCAGGGTGTGTTTGCCATCATAACCCCGGCTTTTACCAGCTCCAAGTGCAGCAAACACAGCTCAGAGCTCACTGGGAATTCAGACCCCACAGGACAAGGAAGGTGACACCACTCAGCTCTGCCTGCAGTTCCCCTGCACACACCCCGAGGGGCTGCTCACTCTGCCCTAAAGGGAACCAGGGAGGAGCTCCCCCCTTTCCCTGAGCCCCATTCCCTGTCCCTGGGAGCACCCACCCGGCCCCACAGCAGGAATGGGGCTGGCAGCACT